TCAAAGTTTCTGATATCTTATTGCTTACTGTCCTATAGACTTCTTTTGCAATGACCTAGAAGGGATCGTAGGCAGAATGGATCAGAAGCAGTGAGTTCAGCTCCCTGAACTTTCTTAGAGAAGCGAGAGGGTCACCCTAGACATAAGTGGGGAGGGGGGGTCATAAAAACGAGCAGTTGCTTATGGCAACCAATCAGCTTCTCCATGTTATTTTCAAAGCTTAACGTAACAAAGTGAAAACAGAATCTGATTGGTTACTATGGGCAACTGCTCCAGATTCCGTCTGCACCAGATTTTATGAATTTCACCCCGTGAGTGGTGATGTTCTGACCATGGGCCAGTTTCTTTCCTGAACAGGTTAGATATAACACTCCAGGTTAGAGAATAGAGAGAAGGGGGTGGGAGGCACACACAGGCAATCCTGGAAGACATGCTGTAATGATGTGTAATGCTTTCTAACCCAACCTTATCTGTATTTTTTACAAATCAGATATTGGGGTCAGAGCTTCAGGCAGGCTGAAGTCATGTGTGTGACGTTACCACCGGATTCCATTGCCAATCACACACTATGGGGTAGACCAGAGGTGATGCTGCCTGTGTCACAGGCCGACAACAAGACCCTGCAAGCATGGTGTCCTGTAGATCCAAGGCAGGTACAGTGACAACGCTACCACAGCATTAGAAGCCTGTTGTTAGCATTGTCACCGTGCAACAGGAAGGACAAAACGCTGACATGATCAACAGCTATTACCAATGATCCTCCTAGGAAGGGGGGTTATCAGCAGACACTGGTAATCTCTCCTCAGCAATAGATTTTTGGTGTCTATACATTTTGCAGTAATGACCCCTTTTCAGGTCTCTTTGTTACTGTGACCCTGGTGAACAGTTCTCTCTTTTCGCTTGCCTGTCCACAGTTAATATATGAAAGTAACAGCAGCAAGCATGACGTTCTATTTGGCTGTCACTGGTAACAAAGAACCTTTCATAAGGAATCCAGACAACCACAACATGGCAGACGCACGCCAGGTGCACGCACTAAAGAAAACGGCTGTCAAAACGTCTGTCGTCATCAAGCGTCGCCGAGGTTTGTGACGTTAGGGGCAGCGACCGCCGGCTGTTTGCATTATCGGGAGTGGAGGCGCTCTGGAGTTATGGCGTCCTCGTTCTGGAAAGGGCTGGTGGGGGTCGGACTCTTCGCTTTGGCACACGCGGCCTTCTCAGCGGCTCAACGTAAGTCGGGTTCCGGGCATCCGGTGCAGGGAAGGCGTTTAGGATGGGGGCTGTAATGTGTTCGGCCTGTCAGGCCGGCAGAATGGCGGCCGAGGAACCATAAGGCCCAGCACTGCTCTTACATTGAGAGGCCAATAGAGCGAGCTAAGATCGTACCCACTTTATGATTGAGGTTCTAGAATCAGATCAGATATGTCAGAAGGAAACAAAGCAATTGGTCTAAACTGGTTTTAGAAAGATCAAATTTGGGAAATTGAATTTATTTTAAAGAGAACCTGTCATCACTGCACTCGTGTAAAAACCGGAATCATTTACATTATAGTGATGCATGCTAAATCGAATTATTATTATTATTGGGGCTGAGATTGGCTCGGTGCTGAGCGAGAGATGACCTGGACATCATTCCATAAGATCCCATTCAAAGGCTGCATTCCATAGGTATAAACACAGGCCGAGCACATATATAAATGTATTGTCCTCGGGGTATCGTCATCAGCGTCCGCTCCTCCCCCGATGTATTGTGCTCTAATATGGAGCTTTATTCTAGGTTCAGGCCTCAGGGACACACGATCGTGTGCTAGTGCACCCAGCTGCTCTATTGATTTCAATAGGGTTACATCCACGCGGCAATCGCAAAAAAAAGTACAAGTACTTTTTTTTTTTTTTTGCGACACACAGCTTTTTTTGTTAGCCGCATTTGTGTTCAATTGAACAGGCGGATTTGTGGCGGGAAACCGCACGATGCGACTGGGGTGCCATTAGAAAATAGTGGCACCTCTGGTGCGAACGACTGTGGTGGGCGACTCTGACTGCTTAGCAATCCGTGCGGTTTTGTGCACGATTGTCGCGCGGTCAGGAGTCGCCCAGGTGTGAACCTAGCCTTCAGTATACGTATAGCGGAATCTGTTTCTTTTAGTTGTAGATAGAGCAGGGAAGGGTAAAATCACCTATCAGTCTAATTTTTCTCTTTCTATGTACCAGTGGGGTAATTTCTCTTCACTTCCTGTTTTAGAGACACAATTGGAAGTGCAGACAATTACCCTCTTAGTTGCTCCCAGAACAGGTATCCCCACGCCTCTTGCTTCTGGTGACAACTCTAAGATTTTAATTTTTCTCTTCATTTTCTCTTCTTTATGACAATGGTCACCAGTACAAATAGAGGGGTGAATCTTCCCAGTGGAGGCGGTAATAAAAAAAATAAAAAAAACAATCCACCTTCATTCTATCAAAATAAAGTTTTACCTAGAAATACAATGTAATCATAAAGGTTAAGGTTTAGCTGTATGCCAGGTTAACACAATCTGATGGGGTATAAGGTCCACTTGGATCTATAGTAATCATGATTGCCGCCATCTTCTGCCTGCAAATGTACCTGCTGGTGTGGATTGGGAAGTGAACCTGCCTGGTTACTGGCTTGGATCCCACAGCTTGTTGGTACAGTCTGAAGTCCTGGAACAATGTTTCATTTCAAAGTCGTCATGTATGCCCTAGTGGTCAACTGATTATCGGATCTACTGATAATTTTAGGGGGGAGGGGCAATATTCACAAATTGTTTCATTATCGGTTACATTTACTGATAATAAACACTGAGTTTGCAGCCATGGCCACTGTCAGATTAAAAACAAAAAAAGCAGAGAACTTTCTCCTTCAGGCCCGCTCCTCTGCTGATTGACAGCAGGCAGTGGGTGGGTTTAATAGCCAGCCTGCTATTGCAACTTGAAATGAAATGGCCAATAGCAGGCTGGGTATTGCACTGCCTGTTGTCTACATTCAGCCGCAGAATCCTGCCACCAGCAAGTAGGGGGTCATGGGGGGAACGGAGGCGACTGATATCGGGCAACTGCCTGCTGTTTACATTCAGCTTTTATAATTTCATTACATGGCCTAAATACAAAATACATGTCAAATGTGCGTAAGGCTCATTAGAAATACAATTTTATATTGCAATATGTTCTAATTGATGGGCTTTTCCAGCACTAGAGCTGTATATCAGTGAACCTGAACTAACTACAAGTCTGTTTATGGTGGCAAAACAGTTGCACTGGCAGACAGCTCGCAGGACAACACTTATCGGGCAAGTAAGAAACCTGCCCTGATCATTTTAGTCCTCCTCTGTGATAATTGGTGCTAGCAGTGCCTGCCTCAATTTCATCCTTTTCTATCCTGTTTAATCATTCTCCCTCCGTTCCATCCATTCCCTCTCTCGTTCTTTTGTATTATTGTTCATCACGATATCTGTGCCCCTCTACTCCTCTGTATAATCATTCTCATTCACTTCATGCATGCCCCTCTCCAGCTCTTGTATGAGCATTCTCCTTGATATCTGTCTATGTCCCTTTTCTCTGTATCATCATCTTGCTGTTCAGCCACTCCCCTTCTCCCTTGTATTATCATTCTTCTTTTGCACTTATTCCCCTCTTTACCTCTGTATAGTCATTCTCCATTTTCATCCATGCCCCTCTCCTCCTCTGTATGGTCATTCTTTACTTCATTCATGGCCATCTTCTTCACTTTATCCATGTCCCCCTTCGCCTTTGTATGCTCATTCTCTTTCATTTCCCTCCATACACATCTCTCCTGTACGATAATTCTCCTATCCATAACCCTCTCCTCTACTTCTATCTATGCCCTCTTTCTTTCCCTGTATGAGTATCCCTCTTCTGTTCCATCCATTCCCTCTTTCCTCCTCGGTATGAACATTCTCCTTAATTTTCCTCTATGCTCCTCTTCTTCCCTGAATGATTACTCTACATTTCATCTATGCCCCTCTCATCCTATGTATGGTATGTAATTCTCCTCTTCCATACCCTTTCTTCTTCCCTGTATGCCCTTCACTTCACCTATGTATACTCTTCTCTGGTCATCCTCCTTCCCTTCTGTCCATGTTCCCGCTTCCCCCGGTCGTTCGCCCTCCCTTCTGTCCATGTTCGCTCTTCCCCTGGTCGTTCGCCCTCCCTTCTGCCCATGTTCGCTCTTCCCCTGGTCGTTCGCCCTCCCTTCTGCCCATGTTCGCTCTTCCCCTGGTCCGTTCGCCTTCCCTCCGTGCTCGCTCTTCCCCCTGGTCCGTTCGCCTTCCCTTCCCTCCGTGCTCGCTCTTCCCCTGGCCCGTTCGCCTTCCCTTCCCTCCGTGCTCGCTCTTCCCCTGGCCATTCTCATTTAGTTTTAGCTATGCTCACCCTCCTTCCCTATATGGTTAGGCTTCCACCTTCTTTTTGCACCAATTATATAACAAAAATGTATAAAGATTTTTTTTTTTTTTTTTTT